GAAGAAATACAAATAGCTAATAAACCTATGAAAAGTTTTTAACTTTACTAGTTATTAGGGAAAAAATAATTTAAAGGAATGAGATTGGATTTTCCAGCCAGATACTGACCCATAATTAGAAAGAATAATAGTGTTCATCATGCCAGAAGGGCAATTTAGCTCAAACATGTTGATGTAGAACTTATATTTTTAAGGTAGTAGCTTTAAAAATCCTTGTAATCACATAAAATAGATTTAAAAGAATGTTTTTTACAGCATTATCTATAATAGCAACAAACTGTTAATAACCTAAAAATCTATCATGTAGAAAGAAATTAATAAATTTTATAGTACACCCTGCTCTGGAATTCCCTGTAGCTGTTTTAAAAATGAATTTCTATTGAGCAGGAAAAAAAGCAAGTTGTAAAATAATATGTATAGGATGATTTCATTTTGTAAAACACAGAAAACCACATGTACATAAACAGAAAAAGTATTAGAAAGATACAAAATAAACAAATAATCATGGCTATCTCTGGGTGGTGGGATTAGGAGAGGGATATTTCCAATTTTTACTTTATATACTACTGCCTTTTGTACATTTTACAATTAATATGTACTACTTTTTTAACAAAAATAATGTAATCTCACCATGTAACATTTGGATTTAAATATATACATACATATATATATATATAGAGAGAGAGAGAGAGAGAGAGAAACAGAAAAAAATCAACTTGAAATGTCTCTACACAGAAGCAATTATCAACATGCCAACACTTTCCTTGTCAGTCCCTATTATGTATTTTAAACATATTTTAGATCTTTATGTAATTTGTGACTTGTTTTTCAATGAATATAATATTGCATTTTCTTATATCATTAAAAACACATTAACATAAAGTTTAAATTAATATTTTTAAATTTTGAAAATAATACATGTTCAAAATAGAAAATTTACAGAAGGCCCAAAAGAGAACAAAAAGCCTATGTATTCTCATCACCCAGAGATAATTACTTAAAAATATAATGAAAGTCGAGTGCACAGAATTGGATTGATTAATAATCCTTAGATTGTACACACCACCTCATTAATTCATATGTGGCCATCTTTCATTCTTATTCATTAACTTTATTTTATTTATTTTTAATAAAAATCATAAAATTATCAAATAATCACAATAGGATTTTAATTACATAATGACATCCATCACCCCAGCACTAGAATATTGACAATAACTTAAATTCATTTATATAATCTTCTATTCTGACTCCCATCCTCAATCCCAATAACCATTATCCTGAATTTTTTTATTAATAATCCTTTTCTTTTTACAATCTCCAGTGTGTTTACTTATAGTCATTTGACTTTGATTATATATTTTAAAATAGTTATAATAACACTTTATATAATTTCATTTGCTGATTTTCACTTAACCTTATAAAAATATGGTGCTTAGTTTTACTTGTTTTTGAATAAGATAAAAAGAATATCCCATCATATGCAGTCTTTTGGGACTTGATATCTTAATTTGACATTCTAGGAGTAAAATCTACTTATATTATTATGTGTAGCTGTAGAGTAGTCATATTATGGCTATATAATATTTCATTGTGTAAATATACCATGATTTATCCATTTTCATTTTGGGACTTTTATTAGTAACATTTTATTATATATCTTCTGGGTTTTTTTTGTGGACATTTATGTACTTTCTGTTCTATAAAATATGACTATTATATATACTTTCATGTGACCTATTCCTCTTACTCATGATATCTTGTGAACATATTCCCATTTCAGTAAATATTTTTCTGTGGTATAAATTGAAATGGCTGCCCAGTATTTCATTATATAGTTACAACGTAATTTTTTAACCACTCCCAACTCTTCAACATCTGGATTGCTTATGATTTTTTTTGCTGTGATAAGCATTATGATGCACATGGCCTTTGGTTTAGCAACTGTCCTTTTAGAAATTTATCCTAAGTAATATCTGAATAAATCTGCACACAAATAAGTACAGGGCGCCCATATAGGACAACATGGTTGGTGTTCTGCACAACTTACACACGTATGTGCTCATCATAGGAGTTTTTATAATACAAAAATTTAGAAGGAACTTAATGCCCACCAATAAGAGATTAAATAAATAAATTATATATCAAAATTAAAATATGAATGTAATTACTGACATGGAAAGCTGTTTATACTTTGTTGTTAAGTGAAAGAAATAGGTTAAATGGCAGTGTGATTCCATTTTGTAGAAGAAAATAAACATATCTGTGAAAAAGTCAAGAGAACATACATCAAACACTTCACAGTGATTATTTCTGGGTATTGAGATTATTTGAGAATTTAATTTTTTCACTTTGCTTGTTTATATTTTGAAGTGTTTTCAACAATAAAACTTGATTATATATACAGTAAAATAGATGAATAAATAATGAATTTTGTGCACAATTGTTTAACTATTTTTCCTGAATAGAAAATACCTTCATATTGTCAAAACTTTGGAAAACCAAAAATAATTTGGAGAAAAAAACAAAATCATACAAATGCCTATCCATCCAGTGATAATTAGCTTACAATCGCCAATGTACTCACCTGCAGTCATTTGACTCTGATTATGTATTTAAAAACAGTTGTAATCACACTATATAATTTTGTATGCTGACTTTTATTTAACATTATTAGATGAACATACCATAAATATTTTTAAAAGAATATTCCATCATAGGTACATAGCACACTTAATTAATCATTCCTTTAATGTTAGACTCAGGTTTTCCTGTTTTTCTGTATACCAAATAATTTATGAGGAACATCTTTGTGCATGAATTATCCACATTTTAGATAATTTCCTTGGATAGATTCCTTGAAGTAGAAAGTACTAAGTCAAAGAGTACATTTTTATAACCCTTGATATATAATGTCAAATACTACTTAATATATATTTTAAGGCAGAATGGAGTGGTAGAGAAAAAGACATCATACCTAGATCCCATGTCCATTGTTAGTACTCTTCTTAGTAAAACTGATATAAAAACATCTGTCTTATCTAAGTCACAAGGTTATATTGTGATAACCAAATGAGAAAATAGATCCCTCAGAATAATCATAAATGCTACTTCATCAGACATGCTTTCTTTGACTTTCCAGACTCTCATAGCATCCTATACTTACTTTTCTTTCATGGCCCTATCACAAGTGATAAATAATTATTCAATTACTTATACATTATTTGTTTCTCCCAGATGATTTTAAGCTTCATTAAAACATGCCTGGCACACAGTTGGTACTCAATAAATATTTGTTGAATGAAGGGATGAATGAATACATGAGGTGATAGCACTTTGAAAACTGTAAGTACTAAACATTCAGAAGATATTATTATTTTAATTAGTATTATTGTTATTGTTCTTTTTATTACCATGTAAATGACTCTAAATTTCTCGAGATTCTTTGCCTAACTATAGTTTCATTATGTGGCTTTTATGCTTTTCACTTCAGCCAGAGGCATGGGTACAACATTGCCAGAAGTGCCTGGTGAGAACTGAGACTTGGAGAACCAAGTAGTTAGTTCTCTAGGTCAGCATGCTGGGATTTAAGAAGTTGTAGTTATCATTAACCAGAAACAAGGCAGTAGTTAGAAACCCAGGAGGTCATGATATTTCAAGATGCAGGTTGATCCTGGAGGTCAAAAACAAATTAATGGCAAGTGGTCTAGATAGATAGTAAGGTGCAAAGTGGAGAATGCCCAGTGATAAGTGATTAATATAGATAGAAGAGTTAAATTCCAGGCACCAGTACTCAAAGCATGGAGTTATGAATACGATTCTAAAGCAAAGGGTACTTGAACTTAGTGTTCCCTTATGTTTTTCCTGCCAAAACTGAAAATAGTATCAGAAGGTGTTTGCACCTACCTTCATATACATGAGCAAGGGAATGATATTAATGGTTCTGAGAGTGACAAGATAAAGTGAGATCATTTGTATATAAGATATTATAGTATTCTACACATAATATTGGAGCAATCAAGCCATGGATCCCATAAATCTCATCTTGATTTTCAACAGCAGATATTATAGTGTAGTGGTTAGGATCATGGACTCTGGATACAAACTAACTGGGTTTAAATCTCAGCTCTATTATTTAGTAGTTGTACTCTTTAGAGAAGTTGCTTCACCTCTGTGTGCCAGTTTCTTCATCTGTAAAATAGGGATAATGATAGTACCTACTTCAGTGGGTTGTTGTGAAGATTAAATGAGTTAATGCACATAAGGATCTTAGAACAGTGCCTGGACGTAGCAAATGCTATGTTGTATTGTTATTATTAATAATTAGTCACATAAGAACAAGCAAATAAAAATTCATATTATTAAAAAATGGACAAATAATATGTTGTATGTTAATATAACAGTCTTTATCAGAAATTTTTCTCATTAAATAAAAATTTCACTTTGCACCTCAACAGTTAATCTATACAAACTATAAGCACTAGCAAAGTAGTAAAAATTTATCCCATCAATCCTATCTGTTTATTCTGTAGAAGCTTTTTATGAACACTATCTTAAAAAGTAGTGGAGATTAAACATACACTTACAAATAGCAAAAAAACACAAACTGCAGTACAGTTGGTTCATAAGATCTGGTCTATAAGGAGGAATTCACTATTATTTTTTTGAGGCAAATTCTACTAGCAGCAGAAATATTTGAGTTGGAAGGTCTGTCTGTGGAAAGATCTGAACACGGGAAGGCTTGGACAGGAGAAGACTAGATTTGAAAAAGCCTGGACCTGCAGAAAGGTTGGAAGACCTGGACTATAGAAAATGTTAGAATACCTGGATATTGCAGATACTGGAAGACCTGAATGTTAGATCGGCACACTGGAGACGGTGGAAGACGTAGATATTGAGCCCGCTGATGGAAGACTGAGTAGTTGTTGGAAGACCTGAAGATGTTGGAAGATGTGAAAATACTGGAAGATGCAGATATGCTGGAAGACACAAAAATGGTAGGAGACGTGGAGATGCTGGAAGACGAGCAGATGCTGGAAGCCCTGGAGATGCTGGAAGACCTGGAGGTGTAGGAAGACATGGATTTTTGGAAGACGTGGCTTAGTTGGAAGACATAGGTTTTCTGGAAGACATGGCCATATTGGAAGATGTTGATTTTCTGGAAGACGTGGTTTTGCTGGAAGACATAGATTTTCTGGAAGACAAAGCTTTGTTGGAAGACGTACCTTTGTTGGAAGACATAGGTATGCTGGAAGACATAAATTTGATGGAAGACATGGCTTTGTTGGAAGACGTGGATTTGCTGGAAGATACGGATTTCCTGGAAGATGTGGATTTCCCGGAAGCTATGGATTTGATGGAAGACGTAGATTTTCTGGAAGACATGGATAGGCTGGAAGACCTGGATATCATTGGAAGATGTAGATTTTCTGGAAGATATGGCTTTTGTGGAAGGTATGGATTTTCAGGAAGACCCGAATTGTCTGGAAGACCTGGATTATTTGGAAGACATGGATTTTCTGGAAGACTGGGAAGTTACTGGAAGACATGGGGTTTCTGGAAGACATGGATCTTCAGGAAGACATATATTGACTGGAAGACTTGGAGGTTATTGGAAGACATGACTTTTCTGGAAGACGTGGCTTTATTGGAAGACCTGGATTTAGTGGAAGACATAGATTTTTTCTGGAAGACTTGATTTGGTGGAAGACATAGCTTGCCTGGAAGACCAAGATTTTCTTGGAAGACCTGGATTTGGTGGAAGACGTAGCTTTTCTGGAAGACATGGACTGACTGGAAGACCTGGATTTCTTTCCAGAAGACATTGATTGACTGGAAGACCAAGATTTTTCTGGAAGAACTGCATTTATTGGAAGACTTGGATTTGGTGGAAGACATATTTTTCTGGAAGACATGGATTGGCTGGAAGATCTGGATTTGATGGAAGACATGAATTTTCTGGAAGGCGTGGATTTTCCTGGAAGATCTGTATTTTGTGGAAGACTGATAATTGCTGGAAGACTGGATTCACTGGAAGACTTGGAGATTCTTGGAAGACATGGGTTGTCTGGAAGATGTGGATTTTCTGGAAGAGCAGGATTGTCTGGAAGACCTTGAGGTTGTTGGAAGACTTGGAGTTTCTGGAAGACTTGGAGTTGTTGGAAGACCTTGACACTGGCGCCATTGGAAACCCTGGACATTGGAAACATTGTAAGCACAGGACGTTGGAGACATTGGAAGCCTTGGATTTTCAAGACATTGGTTACTCAGGACAGAGACTTTGGAGGCCCTGAATGTTGGGATAGTGGATATTGGAAGCCATAGACACTGGAATCCCTGTACATTAGAAATATTGCAAGTCTTGTACCTTAGAACTCCTAAATACTGGCAGATATAGAGACATTTAGAAATACTAAACTCAGAAGCCCCTGATATTGGAAGACATTGGAAAACCTGGATATTGACATATTCAGGTCAAAAGACATAGAATTTGGAAAAATTAAATTTTAATGATGCTGGAGGTCAAAGATGCTGGAAGCCCTGGACATTAGAAGACCTGATATTAAATGATCTGGATGTTAAGAGGTCTAGTCATTTAGACATTGGGGATGTTTAAATACCTGAAGTTAGATGATCTGATTCTTGGGATATATTGAAAGACTTGGGCATTAGAGGAACTGGCAGTAAAGTTGTAAAATCAGGATTTAGGAGATATTAAAATATGTTGGAACTGAATGATGTAAGTGCTAGCAGATATTGGAAAAGTTAGACTTTAATACTATGAAATACATGTACTTTAGAAGGCCTGTATATAGGAGACATTGGAGGATTAGGACCATAGAAGTTAGAACTTCTTGGAAGTTAGAACTCTGGATCTTGAAAGACAAGACAGGGACCTTAAAGTTTGATTACTGGAGTTATTGGAAGACCTAAATTTTTAATGACCCTAGTATTGGAGAAATTAGAAAACATGGTCATTAGAGATGTTGCAGGCCAGAGACTGGAATACATGGATGTTATAATATTTGGAAGATCTGGCAATGAAAGATCTTGGAAGCTGTGGAGCTTAGAAGAGCTGAGTTAGAGATACTGGGGGATGGAAAGGCCCAATTTTAAACATATTAGAAAGTCATGTTGAAAGGTATTAGTAATATGGAAAGATATGCATATTATGGCCTAGATGTCACATTAAAAGATAGCATGAGTCTACTCTTATACTCTTTAAGACTATTACATCTCTTCTACTAAAAAGCAAAACATAGAGAAAAGATATCTTAGGAAGATGACAAAGAGGAGGCAGGAGAATTCAAGAAAAAGCAAGTAGTTTGAATGGGTTGGAACCTGTTTTCATAGTCTCAGCCAACTGGTTTCTGGGCTTAATGGGTTGACAGGATAGGAATGGGAAAGTATCAAAGAATAACCAGTATGCAAGTTAGGGAAACTACTTGGCTCTAGATCAGGGGTCAGTAAACATTTTCTATGAAGAGTCAGTTAGTAAATATCTAAAGCTTTGCAGGCCGTATGGTCTCTGTTGCAAGTACTCAACTTTGCCATAGTTGTGCAGCCATAGACAATAAGCAAATGACTGAGGATGGCTGTATTGTATAAAACTCTATCTAGAATTTAAAAAAGGGTTGGGGTGGATTTGGTTCAAGGGCTTCACTTTGTCAAGCCCTGCTCAAGATGCCCAAACTAGGGTATAGTAAACTTAAGTATATTCCAGACTAGCATTCACATATAGAGAGGAGATAGAGCAATTTGAAGCTCAACAGTAAATGATGATACTGTGTAATGTCATGATACTCAGAAGATGAGACTGGAAAGAATGAAGTTCAGATCTCTAGGCAATTTTTTTGGCAATTTTCTAAACAGGGAGCCTTGTATTCAGAGCCAAAATCAAATGGGTTACATTTAGGGCCCCAACTAAGGGGTCTAGAGATCAGTGAGGATGTCCTAATTTAATAGGCTGGAGACTTAAGAAGAAAATTAGAGAAGAAAGCTACCCCTACAGATTGGGCATTTATGGAGAGGAACGGAGAGTATAGCTTGGTGGGCTCATCTCAGGCACCTTGGCTTTAGGTAATACAAGTAATTTCTGATCTTACCTACCAGAACTTAAGTGACAAGCTTAAGGGATCAGAATTGAGCTATGGGCTGAAGACCTTTGGTACTTAGGTAAGGCTAAGGAAGACAGGGACTATCACAGATATTATATGAAAAAGAACATTGGCAGACAAAACTGGTGAGGGACACTGAGACTGGACCATGATTTAAAGATCAAGTAGTGAAATAATGCAGATAATGAGCTGCCATTGAAGGTTTTTGAATGAAGAAATATTGGAATCAGAACTGTACACAGGAAAGTTAGTCAAGCAGCCGGGTGCTGAATAACAAAGACTACTAGATATTTATACTAGAACACCAAATGTGTCAAGTTAAAACACTGAAGGGGTTGGGATGTGAGGCTAATACAATCATACAGGTAAGTAGTAATGAGGGCTAGAATTAAGGCAGTGAACAATTGTGTCACTCAGCAGACACAGCATCAAAGTTATGATAAATACTCAGCATTCCGAATATTACTATTTTAAACTTTTTGAATGCCATTACAGAATACATGAAATACAAAGAAGTTCAGATGCCAGTAATGAGGAATTGTCCTTGCATTAGTAAGATTACTTAGATTTACACAATTTTGCTTAAAGGAAGCTGAGGTAATAATTTGGTGGTTAAGCAAAGCTGGTCTTATAAGGCCTTATCTTTACCCCCTATATCAGAGTTACTTAATCATCTTTAAAGTGGAACCCAGTGGATGGATTGTTTTCTAAAGAATAGGAACACATCTATGTCAAAAAAAAGTCATCACCTCTAATCACCATGTAAATATCATTCAAAAATAACCACATAAATGTAGCATAAAGAATCACTTCAGGTCAAGGAGTAACTTAGGGACAAGGAAATTTTTGTTTCAAGTATCTTTCATCAGCAAACAAAAGAAATATTAAAACTCATTGTTTTAGTCCTCTCATCTTAAAACCATCATGCATATTTTATTTTGAGGAAAATAAAATATCAAAATATTAAAATTTTGCAGTTAGGAGTAAACTATCATATTCTAGTTACATAATGCTTATTCATGTTACAATAATAATAATAATAGCAACAATTTATTGAGCGCTTACTATGTGCCAGGCACTGTACTAGGCATTTTATATAATCTCATAACAATCCTATAATGCAGGTATTTTTTACCCCATTTTACAGATTAGAAACTGAACTCTGGAATGGTTAGCAAACATGCCCACAGTCACAAGCTGGTAACTGGCAGGGCAGGGGCAGGATTAGAATGCAGGTCTGTCTGATTCCAAAGCCTAGGCTCCATGCTGATTCCTCACACCCCAATAACTCAACAGTTACACTCCATTCACCCAAAGAGAGGGAGACCCCAGCCCAGAGCAGATAAAAAGTCAGTAGCAAAGCCCTCACTCTAAATCCCACATTCTCATTATGACACTCGTCATACCATTGCCACATAGTTAAGAGCCAACTTTAGGTGTCTGTAATGATGGGTTAATTATAGCTTTGGCTTCATGTGGCAATGTAAGAAAGATGAAGTGCAATGTCTCAAAAACACATCATATTCATATTTAATTTCTCAATATTTGTTATTTATGTTAATGAAATATATTATTTATTTTTCATCCATTTTCTATTTGATTTTATGTTTTTCAAAAATATATACACTCTGTTCACAGCACATTATATTTATTTCTGACATTCAAAGGCCATTAAAAGGTAATAATCCTATGTAAAGTTCAGTGATCAATGAATTTCACATCATAAACATTGTTAACACAAGTTTTTAGACTATACACACTATTGAAACCCTTTATTAGCATTCTGGTGGTGGCAGCTATGTAATCCAAATGTGTGATTTAAAGTGCCTTCTCTGCATTTTGAACTTGAAAGATTTTAAATAAAAGGCTCCTTTTAAATGTAATACCAGTTTTCTAATATATTCTCCACATTTCAACACCCTGGGTTGCCCTTTCTCCCTACTTACCTATTTTTTTCTTTTTGCCACAGTGGTTAAATATGTCTATAAAGAAGTAAACTTTCTATGTGCTTCATAATATTGAGCTCAAGCATGTACCCAAGCCTTTTGACAACAGAAAGATTCTCTCCAGTCCAACTGTGCATAAAATATGCTAAAAGAAATTTTAGAGTTTCAATTTGGGGAACTATTCCCAAAGAAGAAAAAAATACTCATTTAGATGATATTCCTTTCTGTTTCTATTTCTACCCTTTAGCCTATATCAGACTTCACATTCTCCTATAAATTCCACTGAGTTGTTAAATTCAACCACATTAAAATGTCCTATCTTTTACCTCATCAGTAATACTTCTTAGATTATTTTAACTGGATAGTGCCTTAAACAAGAATTAGATTCATCCCAGTATATTATTTCAAGTGGTCTGGGCCTTGGACAAACATTCAATCTATCAAGCCAAAGTTGAAGCATTCCTACAATAATTAAAATAATCTAATAGTCAATTTTTTATTTTATTATTTTACATTAAGAGCTCCTAGTTGATGAAATTTGATTTAAAATTCAATTTCTCTAATTATGGTCAAATTAAGAGAAAAAATTGCCAAGGTAGTAATCTCAATGAATGGTAAAATTATCAGGAAAGCACATTCATTAAAGACATATGGAACCACTGATAATACTGGTAAAAAGATCACTAACTTAAAAATATTTACCTCTAAACATCATTAAGAATAAGCAAATTATCCATGGAAACTTAAAGCATTGACTATACAGAGTTCTCTGCTTTGATTTATGGAAACAATAGATACAAATTATTAGAGCATTTCACATATAATATCTATGCAATATTCTCCCCAAACCCTATAACCCAGGGGAAAAAAACAACAATTTTCACAGAAAAAGAAACTCCCTGGTGGTGTTCTCTCTCTCTTTTCTTTCAGGAAATTGATGCTATGTTTGCATTTTTTCTATGGCATCTCTGCCCAACATTCTTTTCTGGGAGGGACTAAAACATGGTCAAACTCGAACCATAAGCAAAAATTTTTTAAATAACAAGAGCACAATTCAATAATATTACTACTTACCTTGGTCTCATGAAAGGGCTTAGATTTTCTCAATATCAACTAATGAGGTTGATGCACCTTTCTCTCAAGGTGACAATGTCAGAGATAGAAGGACCTTAGCGACCAAGTGGTCCTATCCCCTCATTTGGCAGATAAGGAAAGAGGAGAGTGACTTGATAAAAACCATCCATTGAACTAGTGGCAGAACAAACACTTTGAATCAAGGCTTCATAGTTCCTGGGCTTACTACCATTTATATTATATTTTCTATCATAATTTTGTTTAGCCTTAAGAGCAGCAGTTCACAACCATGGCTATATAAAGAATCACTTTGAGGAACTTTTGAAATATACATATCCCTATGCCTGATTCATCAGGTCTGCAAGCAGTTCCCAGAAATATTTATTTTTCAAACCTCCACCTCATGATTCTGATGTATAGTCAGCGTTAAGAACTAGTATGGCTTAGAGAGAAAACATAAACTTGCCTGGCACTGTGGTGAGTCACTACATCCATAGCTCCCTACGATGGGTTTTCAATCATCATCTTCCTCATTTAAGCTTGTTGAAAAACATCTGTCACCTCAACAGTAACCATGCAAGCAAACACTTTTAGCCTTTTAATTTTTCCCCTTTTTCCTGATAACTTCAAACTCAGATACACCAAATTTCAACTCAAGTGGGCTTTTTTCCTGCTTCCTATAGGACCAAATTCAATCTAAGCTCTGGTGTCATTTTTTGGTACTGTTGTTTAAAGGCAGCATTTTTTTCTCATTACTGTATGTAAATTTCATCATTCCAGGTTGTCTTTATGCCTTTTCAAGCTATATAAGGTCTTTTTTTAGCAGGTACATGCCAACGAATTATCTTTCTTCTTTTCTCTATTCAGATTTTTCAGACATCATTATCAGATGTAATTATGGTGCCAATACAGTGACTGTGGCACAAATAGTAGTTAAAACAGGAGCAAAAGCAATGTTATTCAGACATCCTGTCTCTCTATGCGCCAGAATAACTGTCCAACTGAGTTCAAAATGGACATCAAGTGGGAATGTGTGTAAGTAGCCAAAAGAAAAGGTAGGTTCATCATATGTTTTTGCCACGAATTCTTAGAACAAGATATCAGCTTCACATCTCCAGCTTGGTGATTTTTATTCCCCTCTGTTAAATCTGCCTAGAAAATTCCAAACATCCAAAATTAAAACCATGACAACAATAACTTTTGTAACACAAATGAGTCAAATAAAGTAAACATATGGAATTATGGAGGGAATTAAAAAAACAATTTAGGAATGAAGTCTTCACCACCTTCAGGGAACAGAAAGTATCAATATCCCTTTTTTGGAGGATATTCAACTGTTCAATCACTGGGAAGGCCAAATATGAGAACAGAGAGGAGCTTTTAAACTAGTGATGGCATGTTGAAAAAATAAATTAAAAAAAATAACACAGAGGATCTATAGAAATTAACTCTACCAGCTCTTCCCCTCCTTGATTAGGTACCAAAAGAAATTCAGAAATTCATCATAAATGCAAGATTTTTCATATACAATTGCTTCAAAACAAATTCACTTATTAATTTATACCAAACTTGTCCTTTCTGGTGAGATAGGAAGTTAGGCTTAATCGGAAGTAAAGTAAATTTTAGAATTAAGAGTACAAAATCAAATTATCCAACCCAGTTGAGTAGCCTTCTCCCTAGGCCCTGTAGTTGAGTTCCTGAAACCCTCATAGGATCTGTGTTAGAGGAATTTAAGAACTTTTAGGAAAAAATGGGGCAGAGAAGGAAGTATTGTGAAAGCCCAGACAATTGGTTTGTTTACTGAAATAAAACAATAAAGTGATATCAATGATATTTTATAAACTTTCCATCAGCAATAGTGAATGTCACGCAATTAATTTCTCTTTCTCTCTGATCTCAAGATGAGGGTGATAATGCACCAATGAAAATGCTTGGTCATGACAGTAGTGACAAGGAAAAAATAGAGAAAATTTCATTTTGTCTGCAAAGAAGTCATCTCAGTCTTCTGCTCCATTTTCATTCCCCAGCACATAGATCACCACATCAGAGCTGTCAGAGTCTAAATCCCAAGGTTCAACTATCTGTGTGCAATGCTTCTGCTTCCTGTTTGTGGAATGGGTTTGAATGACATGACTCAATGTTCCAGCCTCTTCTCCCCTGTCAAGCAAGCAAAGAGAAAGGATTTATTGGCCTTTGCTTGAAGGTTTCTCATTACTATTGCTTTAAAGCGTTGTGAGTAATCATTTAAACGCTTACCTGAAGGTCGAGATACAGTCCACTGAAGGATGTCTTTCTTCTGAATCATCATGACAATTTGATTTGTGGATTGGATACAACAACATTCTTTGAGTTCTGAATATTAACCTATGCTGGCCTCTTTTATTAACTTTTGATGTGATCTCATCTCTGAAATATTTTTCAACTATCTTCTGGCAATGAGAATCTAACAATTCAGCAATGTCACTTAACTGAATGTCTTCAAACCCTTCAGCACCAAAACTTTGCAGATGTTACATTTTCAATTTCTTCTACCACTGGAAGGAAACTTTCAGAATTAGTTACAACCTCATTCTGAAGTTTCTGCTGGGACTGGTGAAGTGTTGATTCTTTTATTTCTCCCACTGATTCTTCTACTACTGTTAAAGCATTACAAATGGAGAAATTTTGCCAAGCTACTTTCACAGTAAGTTCTGGTGTCCTTTTGATAAGATCTGCAAGGTAGTAAAAATGTACACTGGGTATAGAACACCATGAATGTTTTTAGCGCCCCCAGATGCATGGGTTGAAGAAGTGGAGTTGTATTGGGGATAATGGAGATAACTTGAACAAAAGGAGCAGCCTTTACTATTGCACTTTTGTCAGTGGGATTAGTGTCCACAATCACTAACACTTTGAATTCAACATTTTTTAAAAATATTATGTAAACTCAGGAACAAAACACTTAAAAATCCAGTCCAAAAAGAGTTTCTCGGTGAGCCAGATTTTATGGTTTCCCTTCACATACACAGAAAAAAATGTTCCTGGCATTCTCTAAGAGGGCAAGGATTTTGGAATCTGTGAAGCAATATGGATTTAATCAGAAAGTGACCAGAGGCATTGAAACAAAGCAGAACTTCTGGACTTGAAGCCTCTGGTTCTTTTCTCATCCTTTGCAATGGATGTGTAAATAATCATTCTCTTCCAGAACAAGATTTTTCATCAGCATTGAAGACCTAATCAGGCAAATAACCATTTTCCTCAATTAGTTTCTTCAGATATTCAGTATACCCTACAGCAGCTTCATGATCTGCTTCCTCTGCCAGCCACTTCTTTTCACTACAGCCCAGAGCATTTCTTAAACCTATCCAGCCACCCATTACTTGCTATGAATGTTATAACTTATCATCCAGATTGAAATTAAACTAACATTTTTGTGATGCTTGCTGATAGATTGTACATATAGAAAGAGGCTTATACAGCATTTTCTATTTTAGAAGCCACAAATGTAAATCTCTTCATTTTCCCTATTTTGGCATTTTGAGTTATGCATAATTTTTTTCAATGATTTTAGTGTGCCCCTCAATGCACTGGCCCTAATGGCTTTCTCATTTTTCTTTATTGTATGAACAATTGATTTACTAACACCAAAAAAAAAAAATGTATGCCCCACAGAGGTCTTGCTTTCACCATTATAAAGAATTTCAAGAACTCTCATTGTGTTCACTATTGACATCAACCTTCCTTGATATTTTCACTCTTCTTGCATCTCTATCATCCATCTTCTTGTTCTTTTGCTTGGAGGCCATGTCTACCTTAACTCATGTAAATTTACAATGATTCAAAGTTTTATATCACTGAGAGGTACACAATATTAATTTGTAATATTTAAGAATCAAATGAGAAAATTCACAAGACAAATTTTTAAAAAAGGCTAAACAGTCTTTGTATGACAACACATGTGCACAATCAATTGCTGCAGAGAACATCAGGCAGAAGAGCAAGCGTAGAAGCAAGTGACCCAAATGTTGGTCTTGTCGCATGAGACATTCAGCAAGACAACATGATGGTGACTTGAACTTGCATATTGTTCCAAAGCTCTCAAAGGTGCAGACTAGGTAAACTCAAATTTTGTATGAGAATGACTTGCAGTTGTGAAGGGATCATGGAACTCAGGAGTCAAGGTCAGGTTCCCAGGCTGAGGTGAGAAGAAAAATACCACCATCTGTGAGAAAATGAACACAAAAATAAGAAATCAAGACAGGAACAGAGGCAGTCTGAGTGAGTAGTTTATGAGCTAGTGAAGAGGATGGAAAATTTAAAAATAAAAATATATGCCAAATTACCCTTACAAAGGTTGTATCAATCTGTATGTATGCTAAAAGTAGGATGAGAATGGTTTCCCTTTGTGTACTCACCAACATGAAACATTATCATCCTTTGTGATTTGTGCCAATTAGAAGATGAATAACAAGGCACTTAATTTTTGTTTTAATTTTTCATTTCTTTAATCATCTTTCCATACGGTAAGCTGTTTCTATTTCTTTATCTTTAATTGTCTGTTCACATACTTTTGCCACTTTATAATTTTTTCTTATGGATTTATAGGTACTGTTAGCATTTTTGGAACTCTTATTTTTAGACCTCTCTATGTTGCAAATATTTTCTCCAAGCTTGTCATTTACTTTTTAATTTCATTTGTCTTTTGCCATAGAGATGTTTTTTTTTTTAATTTTTTTATTTTATTTTTTTTTAATTTTTTTATTTTTTTTTATTTTGGCATATTATGGGGGTACAGATTTTAAGGTTTCAATAAATGCCCATTTCCCCCCCTCCCCCCAAAAGTCTGAGTCTCCATCATGACCATCCCCCAGATGGTGCACATCTCACTCATTATGTATGTATATACCTGCCCCCCTCCCCCCTCCCACCTCCCCAATACCTTATTACTGTAGCACCTATGTGTCCACTTAGGTGCTACTCAGTTAATACCAGTTTGCTGGAGAATATATCTGGTGCTTGTTTTTCCATTCTTGGGATACTTCACTTAGTAGTATGGGTTCCAGCTCTAACCAGGAAAATATAAGATGTGCTTTATCACCATTGTTTCTTAGAGCTGAATAGTACTCCATGGTATACATATACCACATTTTATTAATCCATTCTTGGATTGATGGGCACTTGGGCTGTTTCCACAGCCTTGCAATTATGAATTGTGCTGCTATAAACATTCGAGTGCAGGTGTCTTTTTTGTAGAGTGTCACTGGATCATTTGGGTAGATGCCCAGCAATGGGATTGCTGGATCAAATGGTAGATTCACTTGTATCACTTTAAGGTATCTCCATATTGCTTTCCACAGAGGTTGAACTAGTTTGCAGTCCCACCAGCACTGTAGGAGTGTTCCTCTCTCTCCGCAACCACGCCAGCACCCTCTGGCTCTAGTACAGAGGAGAAATATCATTGAGAAAGACCTTCAGACACTTGTAGATAGATGGTCAGTTATTTACATTCTAACACCATTTTTTGCATAGTCCATCCTTTCCTCAATGTCTTGAAATTCTACCACAGAACTATAAAAATACTGAAAGAGAATAAGTGAACATATTTTTATTGTCTTAGTGGAGGGAAAGCTTTTGAAAGCAAGGCATGAGACATTTGACTACATAAATATTTAAAACATCTCATGTTTCCCTCCACTAAGACAATAAAAATATGTTCACTTATTCTCTTTCAGTATTTTTATAGTTCTGTGGTAGAATTTCAAGACATTGAGGAAAGGATGGACTATGCAAAAAATGGTGTTAGAATGTAAATAACTGACCATCTATCTACAAGTGTCTGAAGGTCTTTCTCAATGATATTTCTCCTCTGTACTAGAGCCAGAGGGGTTCTGATAGCATCATAGCCCTTAAGGTAAGCAAGTTGAGGGCTCAAGCTGATCGTAGCTGATCCCCCAATTTCTCAGGGGCTTAGTGTGTAGCTTGGGGAGGAAGTGTTTCCAAATAAATAATTACCATACTATTTGCTAGCTTAAACTTTCTTCTGCAACCAATCCATAATCCTGACTCATATCAACTGAGTAACAATATCAAGTTCTCAGCCCTTTGATTTGATAATGGTTTCACTAGTGGTTGAACTATAAATAATCACTCATAATTTTGGGAGAACTGGAAAAATCTGAGCATGAGTTGGCTTGGCTACATTTCAGACACTATTACATATATATCAGTGGCTTTTCAGGTTAAATGCAAGATGAAGAGTTGCAACTAAAGAACTGATCACTGGAGGGAAATCACTTTAAATGAAATATTTTCCTAACACTGGGTAAGTAGATTAAATATTAAATATTATGAAGCTTGTATCCCAATATCAATTTAAAGGGAAGAGACTCAATTTCCAAGTTTTCACTTTCTCCACCAAATGCTAACAAAAAATTTATATGAATTTTACCAAAAATCGGATTATTTGAACATGGGGACAGTTCAACTTTATAATACTAACAACAACTGTTTTCTATGCCATACAACAGATGGGGATTTATGAAAGGAAATAAGAGGCAAACTTTTAAGCGCATAAAATTCTGGGTAGGGAGAATGACTGTTATATATTGAACTAAGTCCCCAATTGCAAATAAAATATACCTCTATCCATAAGATTCACTTTGAGTCAGAGTTCATCCACTATGTTCTCTGTCCTTGCTCAGGATATGTCACTTTTGTAAGATGATGGAGCTAGGTCAGTGTGAAGACTAAAGCCTCTGAAATAAACTCCCTTTGTTACCATTCTCTTTTGTAAGCTGTGCAGAGACTCGACATTGTTAGGATGCTAATAAATAATGGTATAATCAAGCCTACTTCTTTTCAAGATGTTTTTCCAATGTATGTTTATTTACAGGGCTGAGAATGTAATGTCATTTTTCTGATCCTTGTGAGTCTAAGAATACCTGGCATCCTCTTTAAGAAGAAATCAAGCCTGAGTAGATGATCTCCCTTGTCAGGAGTTGGAACTCTACTGCTCAAGTGCTCAAAATGGCAGGAGGATTTCAGGATGTTTTTTTCTCTCAGCAAATAGTACTGAGTTAATTGCAGGTTCTGTTATGAAAGGACATTTGGTCTTAAGGGGTTTGCTTTTAAGCAAACTACTTAGAGTGATCATTTTTCTCTTTGAAAAAATTTAAAACTCCCACACACATTTAAGTGGTTAGCTCAAAAATTATAGACCATCATGAATCATTTAACATTTAAAGTATAATACCCAGAATGGTAACCAATGGTGAGGTTTCCATGAGGAATCTCATTTTTTTTCCAAAATTTGCAAACTACCCAGAATACATTTACTAATATGATAAACAAAGATGTCATTCAACTAATCTTTGAGACTTCAAGTAATCTTTCTAAAACAGAAGTCTAACATTCTAACAGATGTTTAACAGAAGTAAAACATCCAATAATTCCTCCACTTTAAAACACTTCCCTGAGTCCCCATGTCTTATTAAATAAAGTCCAATCTCTCCCTGTATGATAGCTCCTGCTCACTTTCCCAGACTCATCTTTCACTAACCCTTCCCTTCCTCCTCTATAATCTACGTGTTACCTAGTGAAGTGGCCAGTTCAATCATCCAAATTTTCTTAACGTTCAACACTTAGTTCAAGTACCACCACTTCCAGGAAGTTTTCCCTGCTCCCCCTGCAGGCTCTGATGGAAGCTCTCAGAGCCTGTCTCCCATGCTTACTCTGATTACAGCACTTATGACATTTTACTGCAGTGCCATCTGTGGCACTGTGTTTTAATCATTTAGGAACACCTTGACACTATCTGGAACAGAATAGGTCCTCATTGTGAGGCATAAGTGCCTACAGTGCAGAGAATAGAAACTGAAAGCAATACTCTCAAAAGGGGTAGCTTTGAATTGGACCTTGAAGAACAGGCAGGATTTCCAGCATGTAGAGTGGGATGTGAGAGAGGAAGGCAAAGATAGAGGCAGGAAAATGCTGGGTAAGTATGGGGAGTAGATTAGAGATGAGGCTGAAACAAAGGGTGGCTGAAGTGGGTAGTAAAAATAAAACTGGACAAATAAGTTGAGGAAAATCATGGAGGGCTTCAGATGCCAGATTCCTTTGGTGAGATGGAGTTATGTTTAACTGTCTTCATATTATAATAATAAAAGTGGTTATGTTTGCAATAAATAAGAAAAGCACATTTTTAGGGTAAATCAGACCTATTTTTACTTGTTACTAGGTTTTGGCACACACAATGTATGGGGACATTCTACTCCTTCATGGTGAAGAGAAGAAAAGTAATTTCATTAGATGCTATCGAATTCAAATGGGAATATGGAATCACCACTTGCAAACAGAAGACACAGAATCTAAGACTGAAATGGAAGTTATCAGAAAAACATAAGAGGACTAATCTAGAAAATGTAAAAGCTGATAAATAATGTAGATTAAGGAGCATTTGGGGTCAACAAGGCACTACATGATCTGGCCCCAGACTATTAGGATAGTCTCCTGACTGATTTTGCTATAACCAAGTCTACCCTCATAACCACCAGCTTGTTATTCCCAAAACAGTACCTCTGCTATGTTACTCTTACTCAAAAAGCCCAACGAGTGGCTTCCCAATACCTACAGGATACCTTCCAAACTCCTTGGACTTACCGTCAGTGACCTTGTCCTAATTCTTGCTTCCTGTATTAGTTGGCACTACACTGCACCTTCCCCAAAAAAGGTATTTTGGGAAGATTGGTTTATTCACTGGCCCTTGACCAAAATCACATTTGCACCTTTGTTCACACTGTTCCCTCCAACTGGAATACCCCTTCCCTCCTACCTATGAATCCCATAATTAATTCAAGTCCTATTTATTCCATTATATCACCATCAAGAAGATGTGAAGCCCTAGAGGCAGTAACTAGGTCCTATATTAATATATAAAAACATATAATATTTGAAGAGATATTTATATATACATATAGATATATATACATATAGATGTGTGTGTATATATATATGTGTGTATATATATATATATATATATATATATATATCAAAGCTCCCCAAACACAGAAATTTTAATCCATATGAATTGCAAAATGTCAGTTCTAAAGGGGGCCTGAGAGATCATGACCAATCGAATCAATTTACAGCTATTGATTCATTCAGAGGGCAAGACAGAGGAAGCAGCAGTGATCTTTAACAGCTGCTAAGGTTACTACTGCATCT